TCAGCGCTCAGCTTCTGCTTGTCATGCACAACCTCCTTCCGAACAAATGTCCCGCAGCAGTTACGAACATTATGATTCAGCGAATCGTGACTCATTTACAAGCCAGTCCAATCCCACGGCAGTTTCTAACTGGACTACTTCCGACAAGGTCAGCCCAAAGTTCCGCGTCAACCGAAGCATCAGTTTCACGACTCCCGAGCTGATGCGCCTAGAAGCGAAGTTGACCAACCCTATGCAGCCTGATGTTCCGGCTCATGCAGCACCCTATCAACGTCTGCCTCGGTCACACGCGTACTATCCTGCGAATCACTTTTGCTCCCTGGCAGCGGCTGCAGGGACTGGATGTAATAACGGTGGGCATCCCGGTTCGAATGCATTGCCTACTCGGCAGCAGCCTACTCAAAGTTCCCCCGCCGGTTCTGGTGACGCTGACTTAAATTTTGATCTAGGTGATGGCCGTCTGCCTCGTCCTCCTCCGCCTTTCTTCTGTTCGCATACTGGTGATAACCTACATAGCAGCGCTCTTTAAGCCCAAATCTTATCGCCAATATCTGCTTTAATCCGCACCGTCCTAACTGTCAACTTGTGTGTACATAACTTATCTTGTGTCTTCCTCGCCACTTTACGGGAAAAGCCCGCGAAGTATCTCACCCCGTTCGAACGAGCTGAACCGAGCTGAGTGCAGGGATTTCAGCCCCACATCCACTCGCCCAGTCTGTGGCCAACTGAGCCCAGTACACAATGCATTTTTGCTCGCCAACAATGACTTCATTTATTTTTATATATTTTGCGTTTTCAATTTGCTTCGCATCCACAGGTTAAGCTATGTATTCGTATTTGACTAGTTCGAAACAATGATAACGATGCTCAGATTTTAATCTTCTTCGTTAGTGACTGGAGCCTCCCTTCCATCTATGATGAGACGGGATTGCTTCGTTGGCGGTCTCCCTTTTCTTACTTCCGATATTCCCCATGTTTGTGCATTCATAACTGACACTAGGATATCTGTAAGGCAAATCTATGCTTTGACCATCAGCTGTTATCATCAGGTCTATTAGGAGCGTTTTGTGCCCCTTAGCATGCTCGGGCTGTAAAGTACAAAATCCTTGTCGATCTGGAAAATGCAGACGACATCATTCGCATATTCGAAGAGGAGGAAAAGGCGCACGTATTCTTGGATGAACTGACCAAAGTCATTCCGTCCTTTGGTACTTTGCACCCACAAAGTGTAAGGTCATGTTCGTGGATGTGCAGTCATTGAACACCCAACTTACAGTCGAGGGAGAGGTACTGAAAGTTGTGGGGTGTTTTACGTATCTTGGAAGTTGTATTAGTTCTGATTGTAGTGTGACAGATGAGGTGAATGCACGAATCTGCAAGGCTCGGGACGCGTTTGCTAATTTCCGACACCTATGGCTTATCCCTGAATCTGAAGGGTCGTGTCTATCAAGCTACACTACGGGCTGTTTTGTTGTATGGCTGTGAGACTTGGCCTATTCGAG